GCATTTAAAATGTTCAGTGGTCCCTACAGAACCGATGCCGAACGCTGTGACAGAAGACAAGTTCTGGCATCGCACGACAACGAAAGTTTAAGACCTCGGTAACATTGTGCCTAGTCTTAGGATTGCCTATCTCAGAAATAGAGACAAGCTCCTTAAGGTGGCTCCTCTGAAAATGGCTATTGGCAGAGGCGGATATTCTATGGATGTTGCCTCTGAAATCGCTTAACAGAGGTGGCACTCTAAACAAGCCCGTCACTAGAAACAGTTGCATAAAAATAATTCATATGAAGTCGAATAAAGGCGAACTTATATCAAAATTTTAGAGACCAATATGATCTAAAACTTTGTAATTGACAAGTTTTTCATTTGAAACTATTTAGAGTCCCAAGATTTTGTTTTAATTTCTCAAAACTGAAATTTATTTGTTAGAGTTTTCAAATGATCTCAGATGTTGACATAGTCTACACCAAAATTTTAGTACTCAATGTGATGTACAACTTTATAGTTGACATGTTTTTTATTTGAAGTCGTTTAGAATCAGTAATTGGTGTCTCAAATTCTTAAATTTTGAAATCCAAAATTTTAAATTTCCAAACGACCTCGAATGTTGTCATGGTCAATACCAAATTTGTAGTGGTCGTGCTATCTATAACTTTGTATTTGATAAGTTTTTTTATTTGAAGCCATTTAGAGTTTCAAATGCTCATTTTAAGTTCCCATTTTGAGATTCAAATTTTTGATATTTTTCAAACAATCTTGGATATAGACATGACATATACCAAAGTTGTAGTGCTTGGCAAGATCTAAACTTTGTAGTTAAAACTTTTAGCGGTCAACATATTCAATACAAGATTACAAAGTGTTAATATAAAAAAACAACATCCTATATTTACTTACAAGTAAGTGTGTAATGTAGCGGTAAAGAGATGTCATATGAGACTAGAGATAGACATAACCAGAGATAATAGGTTCAAATCCTAGAGAGCACTCTCTTTTTTATGGCATGCCTGCCTCTAAAAATGCTTCTTGTACTATCTCTATGTAGACGAGAGTTGTGCGGTAGGTCTAAGTAGTAATTGGGCCACACTTAGTTGTATTCAACTATTGGGTCTTATAGTTCTGATCAAAATCGAATAGCGTTGTGGAGCTACTCTTCAGGGTGTACCATATATTAGGGACCCCATTAGTGTTTAGGAACCAAGTACTTAGCCTAGGGGCTTGTGAGATAATGTTTAGGACCCATTTGTAGCCCCAAAAGACTCTTTTGTAAATACAAACCCCACCAGGAGAAATAATGAAAACCTCCCATCTCACCTCCCGTATAAAAGAGACAGAGGGAAGGTGGAAGGGGACACTTTTGCCTCTTTCTCATTCTCTCCACGCTCACCTCTCTCATGTTTTTGTGCTAGACCAACACTTTTCTTTAATAACTCATCACACAAGCAAATAAATTTAGGGTTGTACTCAAACAAATTGCACTTGCACGCAAGGAAAATATTTCCCAAGTAGATGACAAAATTTCTTAGCCCGGACAAATGTACACCAGAAAGAATACAAGGAACAACCTTGTCTCCATGCCAAAACTCTCTTTTGGTTCCCAACAGTGATGCATCTTTCACCGGTCCCACCACCTCCATATGTCTCGGGATCACCCCACACCGTCGGAGCCCACTTGACATAGATCCCTTGCCCACAAAAAGTTGGTCCTGGCGGTGGACACCAAAGGGTGAATCTTACCGTTCGGCCCAAAATAGAAATTAAATTATAGGACGACCATTAAGTTTTCCACATAACCAACAAAAATAAACCCAAATGAAAAGATGTGGAAGAAACAAGTGTCATATTGTTAGGATCCTCGAAAGGAAAGACAACAAAAACCAAGAAAAGATCCAAGAGAAAACAAGAAACGGTGCAAGAAACCCAACAAGAACATGACAACCACTTTGGAGGCAGCGCAACTGAATCAACTCCCTGCACCAGATAAGGTTACACATGTACCACCCTTTGTCTCAAATTATAGGTCGTTTTGGCTTTTATAGGTACATAACTTTTGCTACGCACCTAGATATATGATATATCTAGATATATAATAAAAGTTGTGTATCTAGAAAAATCAAAATCAATACTATAGTATTTTTTTACTATAGAGGCATCTGGGATGCCTCTATAGAGGTGCCTATCCCAATTGTCTCTACTCTTTCGCCTCTACAAATCGACGATTTGTAGAGGCAGGTGCCTAACCGCCTCTAGTAATGGGATTTGTCGAGGCGGCTGGGAACACAACCATCTCTACAAATCTATTTTCATAGGCGGCTGGACTCTAGAGCTGCTTCTATAAATGAGTTTTACAAAGGTGGCTAGTAAGTACAGCCGCCTCTATTGTTTAGTGCTAGCAGAGCCCTAACAGAGGGATGCATCATGTTGATAGATACTTATTCATAAGTGCTCAAGCCAACCTATGTGAAGTTTGAGTGTTTTGAGAGCCGAAAAAGCTAACTTATTTTTGCCGAGTCTGGCAATACCGGACGTGTTCGGTATTTGCCCAGCCACAACAATCTTCTTGGTGTTCTCGGTTTGGTTCATCAGGAGTTTCGAGTGTCGGAAGTTCCAGCAATCGTCGGGAGTTCTGGTGCCTCACACGCGCCACTAACTTAGTGACCGTTGGCAGTGTGTAGGCAATACCGGACATGATACCAGACGTGTCCGCTATTCCAACGGCTATAAAACGGCTAGTTTTTAGCGGGGTCTATAAATACCCCAAGCCTCCGCCTTTGGAGGCTGCTGATTCTGCTGACTTCTATACATGTTTTTGAGCCTTGAGAACACTCTCCAACCCTCTCTTAGTGATTGATTGATTTAAACTTGCAAAATCCATCTTGTGGGTTGAGTGAGATTCAAATTGAGATCAAGCCACCCTTGAGCACCTGTGCATATTTGTCGATCTCGTGATTTGCATTTGTTACTCTTGGACTCTTCGGTCCTAGACGACTAGGCATCGTCGGAGAGCACCCAAGAGATTGTGGTGTGCCTTGGGAAGTTTGTAACGGTTTGATTCCACTACCGCAATGGAAGAGATCAACTAGTGGAAGGAGGAAAAGGAGTTGGAAAGGACTTCGGCTAGAATGACCTTCGTGTGTCCTCTAGAGCTGACCTTCGCTGGGTCGCTCGCAGCCCCCTCAACGGAGAGTAGGACTCGACGGAGTCCGAACTTCGGTAAAATAAATATCATGTCTCAATCTCTCTTTAATTTTGGTATTTATGATCTTTGTGTGTTGTTTGAGCTTGTCAATAGGTTAACAGTAGTGGTCTAGAACTTGTATTGAAAAGAGAAATCAATCAGAGCAAGTTGGGGGCTGGCCGGACCAACCCGTGAATACCGGACGTGTCCGGTATTTGGCATTTGCGCTGAATTTATTTATTCATCGCACTAATCCTTGTGTTGCAGGCTTGTGGCTCCTAGTTTTACTTAGTATTTGTCATTTAATTTGTGGTTGACTCGTGAGGGGTTTATTTCTCTGATTTGGAATTCTAATCATTTTCGTAATTTGAGGGGTTGAATTTTTAGAAACGTCTATTCACCCCCCCCCTCTAGGCGGCATCCTCGATCCTTTTACCCTTCAACATCACGCAACCAATACATGCATTTGTACAGGCAAAAGAACCAACACACAACTACTGTTGGCCCTCATTTATTGCGGGACCCCTTCTTATCTTTGCAGTACTTCATCTCGGCCTTGAAGTCCTCAGCGATCTGGTTGTATAGGTTTTCGAACCACCTACTTGCTCGACGCTTCATGTCCTTGCAATTCTGCTCTAGAGGTCGTTCATGTCGTCCCTCGCTAGCTGGATCCTCCAGCAAACGTCGCTCAAGCCATCGTCTCGTCCTCTTTGTCGGAGTGTCCTCAGAATCCTCCTCAAAATCATCATAATCGTCCTCTTCGAATTCACCAGTTTCCTCCTCGTCCTCACTCTCAGCAGGTACATTTATTAGAATAATATATGGTAAAAAACATATATCATTCCTAACTTTCCATATTCTGATGTCCTCCCCAAGGGATGGGATGATGGGCCAATGGTCACGTGTGTGGAGCCATGCTAGGCAAAGGGGTTTCTTTCCGAGGAGCCGTGTCATGTGGATGGGTTCTCTCATCAGGGAAAGGTCGGGGGAGGGGATGAGCCACACCACTAGGGTGAGGGGCTACCCTACTGGAAGGGCCTCGCTGTAGACGATTGAGTAGGTGGCTGTCTCTAGGCAGGCGTGATTCCACGAGCACAAAGGGAGGAACAATTGCAACTGTCGTTGGAGGGCCAAAAGCAAGATCCCTGAGAATGGGAGTTGAGTAGAGATTTAAGAGGCCTATCATTTTTAGGGCTCTAGTAAAGGTCCTACTAGAGTTGTTTTTTAGCTTTAGTCCTCAAGTTTAGTTTTTAGGGTTCAAGTAGGAGTTTTGCTTTGCGTTACTCTGTCATATTTATAATCTTAGTTTTAGTCATCGTGTCTTCATAGTCACGTAGATAAAAATGAGATATGAGTGTGAGACTGCTAATATTCATAGTCCCCGAAGATGAGGTTAGCCTAAAAGTGAGCAATGACGATGGTAGTGTCAGCTATCATGAAAGGAATGGAGGATATGATGGGCGCCACTCTCGAGGAATTAGCAACCATGCTGGTTAGTTAGATTTTTTTTGAATCAACATGGTTACACATGTATATGTATCTTACAATATTGCACCCAATAGTCGACGCGCCTTATATATGTATATATAGTATAATAATTTCATGATTGGACACACATATCTGATCGTTGCCCTTTTCTATACCTTATACTAAATTGGCAAAATTTCAGCCTAATTTTCCGTCAGGCCTCTCTCCCTCTTATATAAGAGGTGGACACTTGAGTCCGTATGGTACAAGATAATAGTAGCCTCGGACAAAGAGAAGAAAAGAAGAAATTGGCCAAGGATCCAAACCGAATACAAAAGACAAACTTGAAACCAACATGAGCGAGCCAATAATAATTTGGAAGGCAGGAAAGACTAGGACAGATCAAGAGAGGATCCAAAAACATAGTAAGCACCCAGATCTCCTGGGATCTCCTCCTTCCTAAAATCAAATCCAACACGCACATGACATGACCTGGTTCCCAACAACAACCAAACCAAACCAAATCTAGATTCCAGATCGAGTCGAAAACAAAATCACATACCATATATACAAATATACAAAAAATAAAAAGTAGAGCATCAAATCAACGCTGGGTCGGTATGATCTAGGTGACCGCCACGGCGATGTGAGGCGAAAAGATGACGATAGCACGAGCGAGGCCGGCGTAGACAAGGCTTGTTGAGTTGTGATCCAAATTCAGTTATGTACAAGATAAAGGCTAACTTCTGACGGAGCGAATCGAGGCCCATCGCTGGCAAAGTTATATGTTCTTAGAGGAAGTAATTTACATGGTTCTGTCACTGCTGCTACTGTTTCTAATGATGAACCAAGTAAGACTAATCTCTGGCATATGTGTCTTGGGCATATGAGTGAACTTGGTATGGCAGAATTGATCAAGAGAGACCTGCTGGATGGCTGCATTGTGGGTAAGATGAAGTTCTGTGAGCACTGTGTTTTTGGTAAGCACAAGAGGGTAAAATTCAATGCATCTGTTCATATCACCAAAGGTACACTTGATTATGTACATGCTGATTTGTGGGGGCCGTCTCGTAAGCCCTCTTATGGTGGTACTCGTTACATGCTTACCATTATTGATGATTACTCTAGAAAAGTGTGGCCTTATTTTCTAAAAAATAAAGATGATACTTTTCCTGCTTTTAAAGCGTGGAAAGTTATGATAGAAAGGCAAACTGAAAAGAAGGTAAGATTGCTTTGTACCGACAATGGCGGTAAATTCTATTCGGATGCTTTTAATGATTACTGTAGGGAAGAAGGCATTGTCAGGCACCACACCATCCCGTACACTCCTCAGCAAAATGGTGTGGCTGAGTGCATGAACCGAACCATCATCTCGAGGGCTCGTTGCATGCTATCCAATGCTCGTATGAACTAGGCAACTAGCATTTTTGGGCTAAGGCTGCTAACACCGCTTGTTACTTGATCAACCGGTCACCTTGTATCCCACTTAATAAGAAAACTCCCATTGAGGTATGGTCTGGTATGCCTGCTGATTATTCACAGTTGAGAGTTTTTGGTTGCACTGCTTATGCTCATGTTGATAATGGAAAGCTAGAACCTAGAGCAATTAAGTGTATGTTTCTTGGTTATGGTTCTGGAGTTAAAGGATATAAGTTGTGGAATCCTAAAACTAAAAAGACTTTCATGAGCAGGAGCGTTGTTTTCAAAGAATCTGTTATGTTTAATGACATCTTATCCACATATGTTTCTCTAGTTGGTTCTGATGAGGAGCAGCAACATGTTAGCGTGCAGGTGGAGCACGTAGATGATCAGGAAACTGAAATTGTTGATAACAATGTTCATGATATTGTTCAGCACTCACCTCCTGTTTTGCAGCCTCAAAATCAGTCTATTGTAGATCGCAGAACAAAGAGGAATTGTGGACCTCATCCATGTTTAATTGAGGAATGTGATATGGTTCATTATACCTTTAGTTGTGCTGAACAAGTGGAGAACATTCATGAGCCGGCTATGTACACTGAAGTTGTTGTTTCTGGTGACCGCGAGAAGTGGATTTCCGCTATGCAAGAGGAGATGCAGTCACTCGAGAAAAATGGCACATGGGATGTTGTGCGCTTGCCCAAGCAAAAGAAGGCCGTTCGTTGTAAATGGATCTTCAAGAGAAAGGAGGGTTTATCTCCTAGTGAGCCTCCAAGACTTAAGGCAAGGTTAGTAGTAAAAGGTTTCAGTCAGATTCCTATTGTTGATTATAATAATGTGTTCTCTCTAGTTGTAAAGCATAGTTCAATTCGTACATTTTTTGGTATTGTTGCTATGCGAGATCTTGAGCTTGAGCAGTTAGATGTAAAGACTGCGTTTCTACATGGAGAGCTCGAGGAGGAGATATACATGGACCAGCCAGAAGGGTTCATAGTACCTAGTAAGGAGGATCATGTTTGCAAATTAAAGAGGTCCTTATATGGTTTGAAACAGTCTCCTCGTCAATGGTATAAAAGGTTTGATTCTTTTATGATGTCACATGGTTTTAAGAGGTCCGAATTTGATAGCTGTGTGTACATTAAATTTGTTGATGGATCACCTATATACTTGCTATTATATGTTGATGATATGTTGATTGCTGCCAAGAGAAAGAAAGAAATCACTACATTGAAGAAACTATTGAGTAGTGAGTTTGAGACGAAGGATCTTGGTGCTGCTAAGAAAATTCTAGGTATGGAGATTACAAGAGACATAAATTCTAGTTTGTTATTTCTTAGTCAGCAAAGTTACATTAAGAAAGTTTTTCATCGTTTCAACATGCATGATGCAAAGTCTGTTAGTACTCCTATTGCTCCTCATTTTAAATTATCAGCTTTACATTGTGCTAGTACGGATGATGATTTTGAGTACATGTCAAGAGTTCCATATTCTAGTGCTGTTGGTTCTTTGATGTATGCCATGGTTTGCTCTCGTCCTGATTTATCATATGCTATGAGTTTGGTTAGTAGATACATGGCTAATCTTGGGAAAGAACATTGGAAGGCTGTTCAGTGGATTTTCAGGTACCTTCGTGGCACAACAAATGCCTGTTTGAAGTTTGGCAAGACTGATAAGGGACTCACTGGCTACGTGGTTTTAGATTTTGCTGTCGATTTGGATAAGGGGAGATCTCTCACAGGTTATGTGTTCACTATTGGTGGTTGTGTTGTGAGTTGGAGGGCAACATTGCAACCCGTTGTTGCCCTGTCTACCACTGAAGCAGAATACATGGCTATTGTTGAAGCATGTAAAGAATCGGTTTGGTTGAAAGGTTTGTTTGCTGAGCTTTGTGGAGATGATTCTTGCATTAATTTGTTTTGTGACAGTCAAAGTGCTATATGTCTCTCTAAAGATTAGATGTTCCATGAGAGAACGAAGCACATTGATGTCAAATACCATTATGTTCGCGATGTTGTCGCGCAAGGTAAGCTTAAGGTATGCAAGATAAGCACACATGATAATCCTGCTGATATGTTGACAAAGCCAGTTCCTATTGCTAAGTTTGAGCTTTGCTCAAGCTTAGTTGGTATAACTGTTTAGCCCAAGAGGCTATTTGGCACCGGAAGTATTTCTTTGTTGTTTCAGGGTGAAGGTTCGTTTTATGCTATAAGAAGGAATTTGTCTCAAGGTGGAGTTTGTTGAGTTGTGATCCAAATTCAGTTATGTACAAGATAAAGGCTAACTTCTGATGGAGCGAAGCGAGGCCCGTCGTCGGGAGGCTTGGGCCTATTAGGGTTTTTCCATCTCTATATAGACTTCCTATAAGCAGTCGTCTTGGGATGAGAAAAGATATAAATCCCCGACGTTTGTAACCTCACCCGATATAGTGAAGATTTGCTGGCTGGAGCTCGTGGTTTTCCCCTTCTTCCTTGGGAGGGTTTTCTACGTTAAAATCTCATGTCCCTATATTTGATCTACTGTTCTTCGTCATTTATATTGCCTACCGTTTCTAACAAGGCTGGCGCAGAGCTACGGGGAGGCACTGAAGCAGGGCAGCAATGTCAGGCAGGAGAGGCGGCGCTTCCAGCACGGAACGGCGTGGGTGAGCGCGCTGGCCGTGAGGACGTAGATGACGAGGGTAGATAAAAATGAGATCTGAGTGTTTTTTTAGAAAAGGGAATATATTAATATCCCAACTTCTGCATTGACTAATGCATATGGCTGTTCATTATTACAAGCGAGCAAAACAAAGTCCAAGGAATCTCAATCACGAAGTTTTGAGCCATGAATACAACAAAATTCTCAAAAGGAAAAGACTAAAGAGCAATTCTATTGCTAAATCGCAAGCCGTGTCTAGCAAACACCTCCATCGTGGCCGTCTCAATAGTCCTACATGAAATGGCGATCCTCCTCCTTCTGAAGTATGGTCCAGTACCTGGTACAATACATCCCCTTGAAGATAACCTGCAAACAAGACGGTTCTATGGCCTTGTCAAACACAACATCATTTCGAGTTAACCAAAGAGCCCAGCAAATGGCACTTGCACCCACAAGAATTTGAGACTTCCTTTTTCTATTTAACCCTTCCAACCAACCTGTAAACAAATTGTGTACACTAGTTGGGGGTTTTAGGTTAAAGGAAATATGAACAATTCTCCACATAAATTTAGCATAATGACAGTCAAAGAGTAAATGTTGTATGGTCTCATTGGTGGAACAGAAACAACACTTCCTATCTCCTTGCCACTGTCGCCAAGCTAAATTATCATTGGTCAAGATTACGCCTTTGTATAAGTACCACATAAAGACTTTAATCTTGAGGGGTAGTTTAAGTTTCCAAATTAAAGTGTTGTAAGGTAAAGCCTGTACACCTAATAATGCTCTGTACATGGAATTAACTGAAAACAACCCTTTCTGATGCAGCCCCCACACAAAGCGATCCCTTTGGTTTCTTAAGTGCGCATCTGCAACCATGGCCACTATATTGTGCCATGCTTGCAAATTAACCCCCATCAGAGATCTCCTGAAAGCTACATTTAATGGTGTCGTAGACAGTACCGTCCTAACAGATGCACTTTTCTTTCTCACAATGTTATATAGTGATGGGAAGAGCGTCTTGAAAGGGCGTGGTGTTATCCATGAATCCTCCCAAAAACACACTTGGGATCCGTCACCTAGATCAAACCTACCCATCGATAGGAACTCACCCTTGACCTTCATAAGGCCAGCCCAAAACTGAGAGTCCCCGGGCATGTATTGAACCTGAGTCAAAGTCTTGTCCCTTAAATACTTATTTTTAAGCAACTGTTGCTAGACACCATCACCATTTATCAGTTTGAAAAGCCACTTGCTTAAGAGGCACTTATTATGGACACCTAGATTTAGGACACCCAATCCTCCTTGGTCTTTTGGTGTACATACTACTTCCCATTTTGTCAATCTATATTTCGTCTTGTGTTCATCGTTTTGCCAAAAGAACTGAGATCTAAAATAATCCAATTTTTTCAAAATCCCTCTAGGTATTTCAAAGAAGGACATCATGAACATAGGAAGACTACTTAGAACCGAGTTAATGAGGACAAGCCTCCCACCCACCGAAAGCATCTTACTCCTCCAACCACTCAGTCTCTTTTGAAATCTTTCTTCCACATGTTTCCAGTCCTTATTCATTAGTTTTTGATGATGCATAGGAATTCCTAGGTATCTAAAAGGGAATGATCCTACATTACATCCAAAAATTTGTGTATATTCAAATTGATTAGCATTAGCTGCTCCATAACAAAATAATTTGCTCTTATGGAAATTGATTTTGAGTCCTGATAATTGCTCAAAGGCACAAAGCAAGAGCTTCATGTTTTTGGCCCTCTCTAAATCATTGTCCATAAAGATAACAGTGTCATCCGCATACTGAAGGACTGAGAGTCCTTCATCAACCAAATGCGGAACCACTCCATGGATTTGTTTGGCCTCTTTTGCTCGTGAAATGAGTATAGCCAGCATGTCAACCACTATGTTAAACAAGATTGGAGATGACGGGTCCCCTTGCCGCACTCCTTTTCTTGTTTGGAAATAATGGCCTAAATTATCATTGACCTTTACTGCAACACTCCCTCTAGACATGACTTTTGAAATCCATTCACACCAAACCGGTGAGAATCCTTTCATTCTGAGGACTTGTTGTATAAAAGGCCACTTAAGATTATCATACGCTTTTTCGAAATCTAGCTTTAGGATCACTCCATCTTTCTTTTTTCTATGCAGCTCGTGTATTGTTTCATGTAGTATTACAACACCTTCCATTATATATCTACCTACAATAAAAGCCGTCTGAGACGGACCTATCAACTTATCTGCCATTTTCAAAATTCTATTATTTAACACCTTCGTAAAAACCTTGAACGACACGTTTAAGAGACAAATAGGCCTATACTGTTGTATCCTAGTCACATCTGCGATCTTGGGTAATAGTGTAATTACCCCAAAATTTAAACTATGAATATGCAGTCTCCCCATATAGAATTCATAAAAGAGGCTCATCAAATCTTGCTTGACAACATCCCAAAAGAATTGGTAAAATTCTGCAGGAAAGCCATCCAGACCCGGTGCCTTATTATGTTCCATATCAAAGATTGCCATTTTGACCTCCTCCTCACTGAATGGAGCCACCAATACTTCATTCTCCTCCTCCGACACTTGAGGTATATCATGCCTCAGAGTCTCATCCAATGAGAAAGAATTCTGTAAATGAGGTCCAAACAATCTTTTGTAGTAATCGGTTATATAATCTTTCAATTTCGCATCAACAACAATAATTCCTTCTTATTCTAGTTGTGTGATTTTTGTTTTTCTATGTCTCCCATTTACCAACATATGAAAATACTTAGTATTATCATCTCCCTGCAACAACTTTGTTGCTTTTGATCGTTGGAGCCAATAAATCTCCTCCTCTCTTAGCAACTTAGTTAATTGCCCTTTAAGATGATATCTAAGCTCTACCTCCTGAGATGATAGCAAAGTTGTTTTTGCCTTTCTATCGAGGATATCTATTTTATCCATCAGGTCTAGTTTATGTTTCTTGTTTTGGGAGACTAAATTTAGAGCCCAACCTCTAAGAAAATGTCGCAGCCTCCTTATCTTAGACTGCCACCATTCCAAGGGTGTTCTACCCCTATTCTCAGACTCCCACACCTCTTTTACCAAATAAAAAAAACCATCCCTTGTCAGCCACCCTAGCTCACCCTAGCTCAAATTTAAAATTCCTAGCGTTGCCTCTGTGAGATGGTTCCCCTTCATCAAGTAAGAGTGGTGTGTGATTAGAGATTTCTCGAGTGAGAACCTGGACGGTCGCCAATGGAAATTTTTGTTCTCATTCGGTTGTCACCAAAATACGATCTAACTTCTCATAGGTTGGAATATCAGCATAATTAGCCCAAGTGAACTTTCTACCCATCATTTCTAGTTCCCTTAGATTCAGAGTTTCGATAATGGCATTAAAGAGAAGTGGCCATTTATTATTATACCTTGAATTATTTTTTTCCGACGGGTTCCTAATTATATTGAAATCCCCCCTACTATAAAAGGTAGATCCCCGCAGCTAGTGCAAGCACGTACTAACTCTGATAAAAAGTTCTCTTTGTGCTCTTCCTGTGCTGCACCATAGACAGACAAAAGGGCCCATCGAAAACCATCTACCTTATTTCTTAAGACAAATTTTATGTAGTAATCCCCATTAATAATATTTTCTACTTTGAAGCTTTCTCGATTTATCCCCATTAGCATCCCCCTAGACATACCCCGGGGACATCGCCAATGCCAAACAAAATCAGCCCCCGCATAGAAATTTTTCAGACACTGAGTTGAGAAACTATTTCTGTTGGTTTCTGATAAAGCTATAAAATCAAGTCTCTTATCTTTGGCCACATCATGTAAAAAGGTATGTTTAGACAGGTCACGTAGACCTTTGCAATTCCAGAAGATCCCTTTCATTGGAACAATTTTTTCTTTGCAGACGCCTTCCTATTAAGGAGTTTATTAAACTTTTTATTTTTTGCCACCTTGATGGGTATGTCAACAAGTACTCCATCAACGCTCACATTACTATCATCCATCACCTCCTCCGTCAAGTCACCACAGAGTCGATCGATGGTAGAAGTATCAGGATCGACCTCATCCTCCTCTGATTCACATTCTTTATCAATTGAATTACCAACATACGAAGGTTTCAATCTCTCTTGTTCTACATCTTTAATTAAAGCTATAGAACCAGCAATTAAGTTTTCTCTACCACCTAGACTGATCCCCACCCCTCCTAAATTTTGCTCAATACGATCACTAGAAAAAGAACATACTGAATTAATAACTGCCTTAGCATTACCTTGGGGATCCTCGAGATTTTTGATGGCAACTCTTTTTTCTGCCTTCTCCAGAGAGTGTACATCAGCCACGTCCGCATTCCGCTTGCTGCACCGCACTGGAGTAAGCTCTCCGTTAGACAACACCACCATCGTCATAACACTTCCCAATACATTGACATCCGCTGACACTCCGGCCTCTACCATGGCCTCAAGAATGGCCCCAAGGTACTGATCCTCACCCACAAGCACTCCATCTGATGTCCCATCAACCTACCTTGCCTCAAATGATTCTCCAACTAGTGTGGAAGGCTGCTGGTTATGAATTTTTTGCGAACCCCAACTAGCAGCCCCCAAACCGGTCGACGCCTGTATCCCTGCCAAAGGCGGCTGCTGCTGCCCCTTCTCCTTCCCTTTCAATAAATTTCCTGAGACCAACTTGCCACCCGACCTTGATAACTGTGATGAACTTTGCTGCATACGCGCTGGAGCTGAGGATCCTGAAGGTACCAGAGAAGCTGCTACTCGCACATCCACCAAATGACCTTTCTTGACTCCCACAAAATCACGTACCGCATCACTCAGATCATTCTCCTCATCTAATAAATCATACTCTTCAAGATCAACATCCATATGTACTTCTGGATTATTTGCTTCTTTTCCTGAATTGCTACTAACTACTGCACTTGCTGCACTTGCACCTGAGTTGATAACCTTGCCATGATTTTGTGCCTCCTCCATCTCACTGTCCTTTGGTGCCCCACTACCATGATCTTCATTCCCATTATTCTTGGTGTTCCAAATGCTTCGGAGCCTGATGTTTGGTAAATAAGGTTCAACTTCGAAAAGTAACTGAAAGTATTGATTACCAATAATGACATCTAGGTTGGTTGGAATTGCCTCCAGATCTAGTACTGCCACTGCAAACCTTCCAAAGCTACTCGCTCTAGTTGTCACCATGTCCACATCTTGAGTAACTCCAAAAAGAGTTCCCAAAGCCCACAAAACCAAATACTCCCTTAAAATTGTCAGAAGATTTAAGACTCTCATCCACACCACTGGCAGAGCATGACCGAAATATTCCTCATCTTCCTTGAATTCTTGAAATTTGAGAGTCATCACGCCTTCTTTCATTTCTGCATTGAACCTTGTCATCTTTGCTAGATCACCCTTTGTAGGAAAAAGCACCTTGAACTTAGAGCTACTGTACTATTTTACTTCCCAAGCAAAAGTGTCAGAAACCAAAACCCGCAAAAAAGCGGCAACATCTTCTTCTGACAAATCTTTACCAGAAGTGAAGATCAGAGCCATTCTTGATTCTCTCTTTGTTGGCTGAATTGGTGCTTGTGGAATAAGAAAACCGACTAGTGCATCTGCCGCTTGACCGACCAACTGGGCTACTAGTTTCGGCTACTAAAGAACCGGGCATCAACTGATGGCATGATCAGAGCTTCTGCAAATTTCACAAAATACCGTCGCAGTGCACTCAAACATCAAGTGACCCTTTACACCACATCTTCTGCAAACCTTAGTGGTGCCTGTCTTCTATGAAGCGCCTACAGCCCTCACGCTCAATGTTTGTACCACTGAATTTTCAACCTGCACATCAGTTGGTCCACCTGCCGAAGAAGAACCCTTTAGAATTTGAGATCCAGCATTAACACCTTGCTCTGCACCTGTACCCGTTCCTTTCAGCTGCTGCGGATCCACAATAACACCTTGCTGTTGATTGATCCCCATCCCCGGCAAAGCCGTAGACGACATGGTCATCACTGGAGGAGCTTGCGACATGTACTGCTGCTGATTCACAAGTTGTCGCGTCGGGATCTGAGGGTTTGGCATAGGTTGCTGTGACGATACCTGTTGTGATGGCACATGCTGCTGTGGAAGAGGCTGTTGCACGTACTGCTGTTGCTGCACAATCTGCTGTAGATGCTACGGTGGCATCTGATGCTACAGATGTTGCGGCTGCTGCTGAAGGTTCGGTGGGTTCACCTGGTGCTACTGTGGACCATATGGCTGAAGTCGCTGTTGATTCTGGTGAGGTACGTGACACTGATACTTGTGCCCCTATCGAAACCCGCCATTCCGGCCTCGATCCCGATTGCCGCCAAAGCGTCCTCGTTGTCCCCGTTCATAATCCCACCCAGGGCCATAATTCGGTTGAGCCCCGAGGTTAGGGTTGAACCGATGGCCATTGAAAGGTGCGCCATCATCTACCTCCTGGTACACAAGGCTGACGCTGTATCCATGTCGGCCACCGCGCGCAGCACCACCTCCACCGCCTGTGCGCCTTCCACCGCGGCCGGTTCCATAACCTCTTCCTCCAACGCCAGCCCCATCATTGCCCACCCCGCCTACACCTGGTGACACCATGCCCGCATGCACGACTTGCACGTACGAGGGATGAACAGAGGAGGGAGTGGCGGCTAGGGTTAGCTTGTTGATCTCGTCAAGGTCGCAAGAGGCAAGCAGGAAATGTGATGCTAATTTTCCTGTACGACCCCTTCTACGACCGCATCTGTCCAGCACACAAAGCCCACGTTGGGTCTCAGAAGGCTCACCTGTCTCTATGCCTGCAATGGATCAGTGGCAAGGACGTTCGTCTCGCATGTAACTCGAATCACAGGCGTCACGTAGCCCACTCGTTCCTACTGAGAAGACTGAACCCGCATGTCGCTGTCCACATGGTCCGCCCGTCCCTACAGAGGAAACGGATCCCGCATGCCACTGTTTGCATGTCGCAGAAAACGGATCCAATTTAATTTGATTTTGAAACAATGACGAACAACAATCTTCATGAACCTCGTGCACTGACTTCGCCGGCGACGATGGGGATGACCTCCCTAGGACCTTGGCAAGAGTACCCCCAGCCATCGCTCGTCGACCCCGCAAAAGCGTTGCCGTACAATCGCCTAGTGTCATCGCCGGCGACGCCCTCGGTCATGGCAGCTTCCCGGATCACGGCGTCAACGATGATCGTCGTCGTCGTGCTGTCCAAGCTTTGATGATATTTCACACCAAAACTACTTTAGTGTCCGAAGATGCCAGGGACGAAGATGCTTCTACCCGTCATTGGATCGACGAGTCTTGCAAAGCCATCTCCGCCTCGGCAAGCTTCTCCATTTCGAAGCCATGAACTGCTGCATGTCGTACCAAGTCCGGTGTATACGGTGATTGATCGAGCTCCTCATTGGATTCATCGTCGTCCTCTAACGCCCAGAACTTGGACTTCCCACCTATGGGACGGAGGTCTATCGCGGGATCGGAAACAACCCGATCACCACGGCCACCAACGGGTATCCAACCGTCGTCATCATCCTCCGTCCCAACACTGTTTACCAAAATACTACGTAAGCTTACCTTGTTTTCAACAGCCCGATCTGCCGCACTCCTACGAGATTCCAAGATCACTGGAATGCGAGGACGCCTTGCAAAAGATCTCCCAGGCACACCAGTGATCTTCTTCTCGCCGTCGTAGTCGATGGATTCGTGGAAACGTCGGCCTTCAGAAAGACACGACTCAGGCGCTGTTGAGCACGAAGGCTTCCTTGGAACTCCTCCCAGCAACGCCACTGTTCCCAATCACGGTGTTGTCGGTCGCGACGACATGGCCGGCTCCGGCAATGCGGAGGGACTGCCCTGCGGTGCCGCTGTTGCCAACTATGCAGTTGTCGGGCGCAACGTAGTCATCTCCGGTGGCGCCACTGTTCCCGGTGTCGTTGTTGTCGGACGCGGCAACGTGGCCCTCTCCGGCAACACGGAGAAGCCAATCTCCATCGCGCAGTGGATCACCGTCGAACGCGACAACGTGTCCCTCTCCAGCAACACGGAGAAGTCGGTCTCCATCATGAGATAGATCGCCGGCGTCACTCCGCCGCTGGCCTCTGTTGCCGTCGAGGTCCTCGGGGTCGCCTCCCGAGTCTCCCTCAACGGTCATTTTTTGGATGTTGTGTCAATATCCCAAGAAAGAAGAAGTGTATATAGCAAATGAACGCCATGCACACACTGACACACACCTCATTTTGCAATCTCCTCAATGAGACTGCAAATATTCATAGTCCCCGAAGATGAGGGTAGCCTAAAAGTGAGCAATGATGTTGGTAGCGTCAGCTATCATGAGAGGAATGGAGGATATGATGGGCGCCACTCCCGAGGAATTAGCAACCATGCTGGTTAGTTAGATTTTTTTTTGAATCAACAAGGTATCTACAATATTACACCCAACAGTCGGCACGCCTTACATATGTATATAATACAAAATAATTTCATGATTGGACACACGCACTACTGGAGACGGCCTCTTTGCCAAGGGCCTTAGGCCCTCGGCAAAGGCCCATTAACCCTCGGCAAAGGCTTTGCCGAGGGTGGCCCTCGGTAAAGAGCTCTCGGGGAATTTTGAGTCGGCGAGGGTCTTTGCCGAGGGCTGGAGCGGCACTCGGCAAAGAAAAGCAGCCGTCACGGCACCGGCGCCTGGGACGGAGTCTTTGCCGAGGGTCGTCTCCAGGGGCCCTCGGCAAAGAATTTTTTTTTGAAAAATCTTTGCCGAGGGCCTCCAAGCATGACCCTCGTCAAAGAAATGTGCAGAATTTTTCCAAAAAATATTTGTCGAGGGCAATGGGACGACCCTCGGCAAAGAATTTTATTTTTTTAAAAAAAAGTCTTTGCCGAGGGCCCCCAACCATGGCCCTCGGCAAAGAAATGTTGCAGAAATTTTATTTTTTTTAAAAAAAATCTTTGCCGAGGGCAATGGGACGGCCCTCGGCAAAGGACCCATCTTTGCCGAGGGCCTTGGTCATTGCCCTCGGCAAAGAGGCAGAAATTTAATTTTTTTTTTGTTTTTTGCATTCCATCGACACAAGCATTTCATATATATATATCACACAGAACCCATTTTGTCACAATATATCACAACCATAATTGTGAACCACAAATGACAATATATTACAACGACAAGTCACATGTTCATCACCATTCACATGTTTATTACGATAAGTTCATGAAATCCAGGCACAAGTCAGAATCATAAACCACAAATATTATAATAAAGTCCAACCACATCACCTAGCACTGGTCCTCATCAAGGTAGCCTATGAGACGGTGGTGAAGGAAAGGCGGGATCAGCCGGTGACGCACTACCGGGATAATTAGAACCCGTGGACGGAGGCTGCACAAAGGAGCAGAGATTGCATGTGTGAGTAATCCGGGAAAACAGTTTTGGAACTTAGAGATTACATCTAGTAATCTAGGAATACAAAAAGATTAGACTCAATTGAAAATTTCGGCAGCACCTCCCCTGCATAGGGAGGTTTCTAAAACCTGCAAGAAACAACGGCACGAACGCCGACATCCACAATGGCACGAACGCCGACATCCACAACGGCACGAAGGCCGACATACATGCAAAGCACAAGCGAAAAGTAAACTTTCATACTTACAGGAGTAGCTGCAGGAGTAGTTGCAAGAGTAGGAGGTGGAGGAGCTGAAAACTGCACAGGTACACCCGATGCTTGCCCAAGACTTTGCATGATCACCATCATCTCCGCCATCTGCTTCTGCGCGGCCTCGAACGCGATCTGCTGGGCCTGCAGCTGTGCGGTCAGTTCCGCGTTCTACTCTTGACTTTGCCTTTTTGTTTCTTCCAGCTTGGCCTGCAATATTTCACTCCAATGTATCAGTAATGCAAATCTAATTTAGGTGTGTAAATATCAACGTACGAAGAGTAAAATAGGAATTACCTGGAGTGCCTGGACCTGCTGCAATGCTAGAGAAGGCCGTGAGCGTATGCGCTGGCTGGAGCTCGTGCTCCGTGCTCAGATAGCATCGAGGGAGGGAACAATGGTGGAGTCGATGGCGCCGTCTGCAATCCACAGCCGCCCGTGCTTCTTGCCTCCTCTGAGCCTCATGATCGTCTCTGCATCAATGGGCTCAGTGCGCACATTGTAATCTTCTCCATAGATCTCCCTTACTGAGGACATGTACTCTTGGACTTTAGTGTACACGTTCGGGTCGGAGTACACCTGGGGCGGGGCAGCCGGGTCGAAGGAGACAGAGGACGACGCCCTACCCATGTGGGACATAGCCCACGCAGAGAACTCCGAGACCTCCTTGCCCGGGTGAGCAGCCTCCTGCGAGAAAGACAGGAAGATGGTGAGAAATCAAGCAGAATTGAGCATCAAAATAAATGAAAGAAATCACTTACATATGCTTGTTTGTATCCGGGGAGGCTGCGGCTGCCTTGATGGTGAGTTGGACCTTGCCTCATCAGACGTTGTTCCCGCTGCCTCTCGTGCGTGTCAACAAAGTCCGGTGATAACCACTTGTAAACGATCATGGCCCAGCACTCGGGATACGATCGGCACCACCAGGGAATCACCTATAGGTCATCGAGTATTTGACATATAAGAAGATGAAATTGAACCTACTTAATATCAAAACGAATCATTATGAATGTTATTCGCCTACCTCAAGGTACTGGTCCCGGGTCAGCGTAATCAGTCTTGCTTGAGGCTTGGGGAGGGACTGCTTGAGTACCGACCTGTAGTAGTCTATGTGGGCTTGGACGCAACCATGGTGGTGCATCTCGGTGACATACTTCCTACAAGCTGCGACAGCCGCCCGATCCACCTGGGCCTCAAGTCCTTCTTCGGCCTTGAAAAATTTCTGCATACAAAACCGATGTATCCATTCATTATTTCAATAAAACATTTAACCAATGAATGAGATGTATTAAGCAATGTTGTGCGAGAGAAACTTACCCAAAACTCCGCCAATACCCGCTCCTGCTTGTTGCGGTAAGTGTCATCCGTGACCAGCGCGTACCTGTCCTAGTTGGAGGCCGGCTCCCGCACCACCGGCTCTTCGGACAGTTGCACAATGCCGGGGTACCATTTCCTACACAAAACACCAAGGATACTCATGGGGGTGCGTGCTGAAGTACCTGACAAAACCAACCAGGCCCTGTACAAGTGATTAAGAAAATTTATCAGTTTCTCTTATGATTTCCAACATATCTTATGAAGTAATTGTGATAACATCTATAGTTACTTACCTCTTTGCCATAGGCCGAATCACTGGGCGGTTGTGAGGAAGTGGACCTTGCTCGTAGGGAGTCTAGGTAGCGGTACCCCCTCTGTCGCCCTCGAGCCCCTCGCCTCCCTCGCCCTCGAGTGCCTCGCCTACCTCGCCCATCTACTGACCCCTCTCGTCCTCCGACGAGGACGTGGCCGTGGCCATCACGTGCTCCTCCTCCAGCACCTCGTCACGTGGCGAGGGGAGGAGACTACTGCCTCCTGTGGCTGCTGCCCCTGGTCCTCCTCTCGTCACCTCCTGCGGACGCTGCCCCGGACGACGACCCCTCACCTCGAAGGAGAGGGCGGTCTCTCCCGTAAACCGAGGGCGTGTCACGGCATGGACGTCTGCTCACCATCTTTGTTCAATCACCTGCAATCACAAAGAATGAACAAGACTAATTAGTACATATATTAGAAATAGATTCAAAATATATAAACAAAACACAAATTAAAAAAACATAGTATTACATGTATAATCTTCATGATTGGGATCATAGGTCTCATCATCACTGTCAAAATTGTCCAAATGGGCAACACTATCCGAAGGTTCTATGTTGTCATCGTAGTCATTGCCTAGAAGTAATCGCTCAAGCATTGCTATGTCCTTGGCATTTACCACCACATCTCCATCGACCTCGCCATCAACCATTTCGTTGTCTACTTCCATTTCGATTGCTTCGGGTAAGACTATCTCAAACGTGCCTGGTAGCCCATCTTCTTGATAGAACTGTCCATCATATGTGTTTGCGTTGAAGTTGTAATCATCATCATTTGGGGTAGGTAGTTTACCGTGTGGAGATACCTGGTGCACAATAGCCCAACCCTTAAGATCCTCTTTGTCTTGGTTGGCGTATTGAGTATAATACACCTGCAC